TTTAGAACATGAAACCAAGTAAATAAAGTGATCTGTCTCAAAAGGGCAAGTCAGTGACAGTCAGGTGTCTTTCCCCCACCCCACCCCACCCCCTCCGTCCAAGTCTTAGATCCTGATGGATCTGTTTTCTCTTTTATTTAATTTTTCTCTTAACCAAAATAAAAACAATATGATGTCACATGTCAGCTGCTATGTATAAAATTGTCTTGCACTTTGTAAGGCAGTAAAAAGTTAGTTGGTTCTGTTACCTCAATTCTCCACTAGGTAAGTTTCAGTCAATGTTTGCAACACAGTGTATTATCCTTACTTTAGAGGTCCCTGAGGCAGATGGTTTCATCTATACCAAATATAATGACCCTCTACCCTATAGAATGTACTCAGAATTTTTTTATTATGTGATAAATTATACATAGTAAAGATATTTCACATTCCCTTTCAATGAGGTAAGGCTTTTCAATTAATATTGTTGTCTATATGGGGTTTGTGCTGGCACATCTTCTCTTTGTAGTCATTTAATGGTTAGATATTTATGCAACTGCTGGCTGGGCCTTTATTGCACCACAATGCAAGGTTCCCTTAATTGTCCAGGACTTAGATTTTTACTCTGTTTACATGATGCCTGGATTAAAAAAAAAAAAAATAGATCTAACTATAGAATTGGAAAAAAAAAAGAACCTCAAAATAAGTTACTTTATATTGAGCATGCTTACATGCTTACCCTGAATGAGAGCTAAAGAGATGAATGTCTACAAGATTGCTTGTCAATATATGTTCTTTAATGTATTGCTCTCTAAACTTGGGTACATGTAAAGGTTAGGTGACTAAGGGAACACATATAATTTTAAGAAAAACTCATCTTTAGTATGTACTACTCCCTATAACCGATCTACTTATGAATACTCTTGTGGTCAGAGCTTCAGATTCTTTATCCCTTTTTTATTTCTACTTGACAATTACCTTCTACCACTTAAAAAACAAAACAAAAGGGCCTCCCCTGGTGGCGCAGGTGGTTGAGCGCAGTGCTGTGAAGCTGTCCGCAGCCTCTGCAGCACCAGTTCTATCCCGGCCAGCCGGCGAGGGTCCCACATGGTGCAGCAGACCTCTCCTATCTCGCCCGCTGCTCCCCTCAGCAGTGTATTTCATCAGTCTGCCTGTTCTGTTCCCCACTCTGTCTCTGATGAATTCTCTCACCCTCCCGCGCATCTGGCCTGTACCCCGGTTCTTGTATAAATAAATAAATAAATCTTAAAAAAAACAAACAAAAAAAACCTAATCATATTTGGTACATTGCACTAATTTACAAACTACCAGGGGGTAGAGGAGCATGGGAAGAGACAACTCCAAATTCTGGTTTGGGGAAAGCTTCCTTTCATGAGGGGGCAATATAGCTTTACAGTACTATTTTAAGACATAATGAAGAAAGTAAAAATTGAAGACCATTCCTTTAAGATATTTTTAGTTTTTCTAAGTTTGAAATTCATTTGATAACTAGTTTGCCATTTATTTTTAAACAATATCTGTCAGTCTTTTTCTGATCTAATTTCCAGAGTGGGAAATGTTTAATTATATACATAACAATCTTCTTGAGGGCCACCCCAGTGGTGCAGCATGTTGAGTGCAACGCTATGATTCCATCATTATTCCTGGTACAAAGTCCAGTGGTCACAGTTAGTCTCAGTAAGAGAAATTGGAAGCTATGTTATCCTCTACACTTTTGATAATAATTCCACAAACACAAAGAGGGGGGAGAAAAGCATTGGAGTTTAGAGATGATTGAACTAAAATACATGAATGTCATAGATTTCAAAATGTGCTTCATGGTTACACAATGCATGGTAATAGGGAAAACTTCAGAGATCCAAGCGTAGGCTGTCAATGATGGTGCTATCTATGCCTTGAATAAAATTGCATTTTATCATCTCTATAAGAAGCAGTCAAAAGTGAGGAACAAAGACTTAAAAGTAAATTTAGACCAAGATACTTTAATCTCTGTAATTTAAGCAATTTAGTTAGTTTCCTTTCTCATTCTTAAAAATGACAAACTTCAAATTTGAAGAATCATTCTATCCCGTTTCGTCTCAGTGGAGGCATTTGCTTGTTAAGTAGCTCCTGGGTTAGGTTGCAGGAATATCAATTGGAGAAAGGTTTGATAAACTTGCTAAGCACTGATTTTTAATCAAGGGTTTATATCAGCCGATGGATTTATTATGATCAGTTTTAATGGAGGAACGGGGTGAAAACTAAATTGACTGAAGAGGATAAAATTAAGTGGAGATAAGAATTGCAGAAACTGCTCCCAGAAACTTGTTAAAACAAAGGAGGTGGTAACTTAAGTGCAAAATTGGGACTAGGAGAAAATTGCACTAATAGAAGAGATGTTACAACAGAAAAGGAAAGTGTAAGATCAGTGTTAGGAGCTTAAAGGTGCGAGATGGGCTACCCCTTCCATTCCATCACAGAGGAGGAAAGGCGAGGTGCCCATGCAGATGCATTTTAGGGACATTAAAGGAGGTTCATGAATGAAGATTCTGCTGAAGTTTCAGATGATGGATATTCAGTGGCATCATCTGTTTAATTTTCTCTATTAGTGCTGAATCAGTCACACACAAATAGGGAGGCTAAAGCTCAGGATTACATCGGTGCCACCTCTTTATTAGAGACCCCAATTCCCTTATTTCAAGGTGAGCCCCGTCATCTCTGAGCCACCTAGATCAGTTTATGGCAAGGACAGGTAACCTAACCCTCAAATTGGAGCCAGAAGGAGGAACTATTTTTCTCTTGTTGAAAGACATAGAAGTCTAAGTAGGTAGTACTCGTTGTGGACCAGCCTCTCGTATACTAACGAAACAAGGAATAGAGATGTTGGGGATCAAGGGAAGAGTTGACAGGAGGTAATGGGAAGAGTTCCTGTATCCCTGAGACCAGCCTGTCTATATTTTTTAAATGATTTCACTACATAAGCTTAATAGGTTCCACTTGCCCTAGCATGGTTTGTTTGGATACTGGTATTTGAAACTAAAAAAAACTTACTAATACATGGGATATAGATGTGGAGAAGTCAGGATAGGGTTGGTCAAGAATCAGTGTTCAGTGGAACAAAGACTGGTTAAGGTGATGGAGCACAAGTTCTTGGCTGCCCAGGAAAGTAAGTCGTGGGTGTTGAGCTCAAGACAAAGAGGAATCAAGGGAATTCAGTTCTTAACTAAATGTTAAGTAAAAGGATAGGGAGCTGTGGAGAGTGTATATGAGTGTTGGATGTATTTGCAAGGTCAATTTTCCCTTTATTAAGAAAAATAATGGCTCATCATAAAGTATTATATTGATTCAGGAAAATCCCTTTGTAATTTTGTTGCTGAAAACAAGGAGATAACATCCAGCTTTTAGGTTTGTCATGTTATAATATGCATATGGGAGGAGGACCTGGCCTACAACATGGCAAGTTTGTTGAATTTTACAAAATACTATATAGTAGATTTTTGTTGTGAGCTTTGTGCCTGATGGAGTGACAAGAATACTTTAATTTGGAGCTCAACTCTGTAAGCAAAATATTCTCTTGGCAAATATTTTTTTTAATTTGTTCTGGAGCAGAATGTAATAAGAAAAATATCAGATGCTTAGATATCATTTTCAATTTTCTACCTTTATAAATAAATTTTTCTAAAAAAAATTCTTTACCACAGATTGTAGGGTTTTTTTAGTTAAGTTTGCATTATATAAAAAGAATATACAATTTATAGTATGTCTGTGCCTTGACTTACCTCTTATTTTAATTAGCTAGCTCCCTTAATTATCCAATAGTTAAATATGTAGCCACAATGCAGAACTTCCACAGAATTCTATCAGGATACTTGCAGAGAGTACATGTACTGAATCTTAAATCATGCTAAATCTCTAATCTAAATATATTTTTACTGAATTTGGAAGTGTTTTACTGAAAGGGGGATTCACTGCTGATGTAGTCTTTCTGCCTCTCACACAACATATAAAAAGGCAGATGATAGGAATACAAGGCCCTTTGCCTTCTGTTCTGCCTGGAAACTTTCTGAACCTGTCATTTTCTCTGTCAAAAAATGAGGGGTTGGATGTCATCTAATCCCCCATTTCAACCTATAGTCTTTGCTGAGCCTAATTGGCCCAAGTCCTACTTTGAAGAAAAATGTTTCAACATCATCATAATGTTATTATGCACAGCATATCTTTTTCTTCAATATAATTTGCTACTACAAAATATCATTGTCTTCAATATAATTTGCTGTTGCAGCTCTATGTCTTAGAGATGCATTTATGATTTCTTTAGAACATCTTACTCAAAATCTAGAGAGTGTAAATGTGGGGTTGCATTTTCTTTGGTAGTTGTCATGGTGAATGCACTTGATTACAAGGACCTTACATGTAAGGCCAGAGCTGAATAAGAGAGGCAATCTTATGCTCATGTGACTGTGTCATTATTGTTACCAAGGCTTTAAGGAAACTTGTCTCTACTACCTCACACACTAGTATAGTGTTCACTGCCTATAAAACAGAATTCCCAAGTTAGATTGACAAAAACTGCCTAAGTCATTGCTATAGAAACTAAAATTTCTGAGATGGTTTCCCATAATCTGCCTTCAGTTCCCCTTCCAATGTATTTTGTTCATTAAGTTGTTGTAAAAACAGTTCTACTTATTCCATTAATGAAAATAGTATGAGTACTCCAATATCCAAACTGGTGAAACTGCAAGACCATATTTCACATGGCTTAATGTTAATAATGCAGTGTTGGGTGTCTTGCTTAGAAAAGACATTTTTTACTTTGTGTAAAATCTGTTTCATGAAACGCTGCTCTCCCTTTGCTCATTTGCTTCACCTGTGCCGTCCTCCTCTCTGCAGTGCCAACAGGATGGCACAGGGGAATCAGACCCATTCTCTTGGGATTGTTGTGTTGACTTTGGTCATTTGCTAAATTCAAAACGTAAAACAGAATGAAAAGAATAATTCTATCCTGTTTTCTCTCTTTATAGGCTCTGTACAATTCAATCAAGAATGAGAAGCTTGAATGGGCAGTGTAAGTACGCTGGATGTCAGCCTTTTAATAAATGAACTACTTGCTCTTTTCTTACTGTCTTTCTTTATGCCTAGAGGTGCTCCTAGGGAAGGATTAAATATGCATGGCCAGTTCTCATTCTTCCCTACTTTGCATAAAACCTAGTAAACCCTGAGTATCTGTGTCTTTTTCTTGGTACTTAGCATGTTTCCTATTGTGCTTTTAATCTGGTTGCTGTGCCCAGTAAGCTATTTATTATCTTTTTTAATGTATCCTTTTAAAAAGTATTTTAAAAGAAAATCTGATAAAATTACATACATTCAGAAATCTAATACAAATGATTTTGGTACCCACTTATTTTAATTCTCTCTCACTATAATGATCAAGATTTTTCCATCCTATTTCCTAGGACACTAATTTTACCAGGATATGGATAAATATTATGCAAAAAAGCAAAAAGGATTCTGTAAATAGATAAGCTTAAAAAATAATGGATTAAATAAAAGTGAAAAAATTTTAACTGCAAAATTCTAAGAGTTTATCCAATTCCAACATATATTGTCCGTCTCCAAGAGAGGAATAGAATTTGCAATGTTTCCTGAACCTGTTTGATAGGAAAAAAATGTTGTTTTCAGGTACATATTATGGGAGATACTATTACAGATATCAATAAACTACATTTAACTATGTAGGCCCACAATGCCACTCTTGTTAAATTTCACTGATCAACGCAGTAGTTAAGAATTTAATTTTTAAAACACTGAGAAGGGGCCTCCCCGGTGGCGCAGTGGTTGAGCGCTGGGTTGCGAAGCTGCCCGCGGCCTCTGCAGCGCCGGTTTGATCCCCGGCTGCTCCCTGGCCACCAGAGGAGGGTCCCACATGGCGCGCAGACCTCTCCTGCCGCCCGCTGCTCCCCTCAGCAGTGTACTTCGGTCCTTCTGCCTGCTCTGCTCCCCGCTCTGGCTCTGGTGAATTCTCTCACCCTCCCGCGCTTCTGACTGTACCCAGTGCATGTATAAACAAAAAACAAACAAACAAACAAATAAATAAATAAAACATGCCTCTATTAAAAAAAAAAAATTTAAAAAATTTAAAAAAAAAAATTTAAAACACTGAGAAGAATCTTTGCTAATTTTTCATCAAGTTATTGATAAATTAGATGAAAAAAATTTTTAATTATAGAACTACAAGTGGATTTTACTTTTGGTTTTCACTCATATTTAGCATTCATAAATATTTTTCTACCACGAAACCTAATAGAACAGTCTGCAATGAACTGTCATTTGTAGAATCATAACTTGGGAGTTAAATTTTATTCTTTCATATGCACATTGGAAAAAAAGGATTTAGCAATTAGATGCATCTCACACATAATGCTGGATTGAATAAAAAAATATCAAAACCACTTGAATTATTTCTGCTAATTGTAAGATCATATGGTACTTTAAATTAGGAATTTAAGGTTTAAGTTGAGACTAATATTTGCATGTATGTAATAGCATGTGTGTTTGAATGTATTCAATATATACAAAATGAGATTCACTTAAAAGCAGCCTGTAATTTCAAATAAAGCTCATTAAAATTAGTAAGAATTCATGATCTTAAAACTGAAGTGATTATTTTGGGACTTAACACAGAAATGTTCTCAGACACTAAGTATAAAGCCAGTTATCACTCAAATGTTAATATAATGGCTTTTAAAATGCTTAATTTCTTATTTATCATTTTCTTTTTCATATCCACATTTATTCTCTATCACCTACCAAAACTAAGGCTCTTCAGTTGTTTATCATATAATTGCCTATCTTCACCTACAAAATGAAAGGATTGAATGAAATAATAACTGTCCTTTTTGATTTTAATGTTCCGTGAATTTTTTTTAACTATGTATTAGTGTTTTTTGCATAACACTGCTATATTTAGAGAATATAAAACAAAAAATGTTTATGGGTCTATCTGATACACTCTTTGAATTTCTGCAGAAGAGGAAGGGCCATTACCCCAACTTTTTTAATCACTGATTTCTATTTTGATCATAAAACACCTTTTCTTTAACAGCTATCAAAGTTAGTTTTCCCTACCACGTACTTTAGAAATCCCTGCTGTTTATCAATTTGTGATCCTTCAGGACATGCACTAAACTTTTTCCTTGATAAAAATTGCCATATATATAATTTTCTATGTAAAACTCTGCTCACTCGGTTCTCCTTGTACCCCTCCAACATATCTGACTCATTTTCCTCTTGTTAGCCATTAATGTTGGTATTTTCCAAAAACTGGAACTTAGAGTATCTCCTTTTATTAAAAAATATCTCCTTCTCATTCATTGCTGCAGAAATGGCTCCAAACAGCCCTTCTCTCCATTCCTGCTGCTTCCCTCCTGCTTCAGTCATTCATACGTTTTCCTCCTAATAAATGCCTCTGTCTCTAGCCTTGTTCCTTTACTTGAATGCGATTGAAGTACTCCTTTGCTCTAAAACTTCAATTAGGCTCTGCACATTCTGCCAGGAATATATTTCTTCCCCAGTATTTGTCTTCACACAGCCTACATTTCAATTAAGCTGTGCCTAGGCACAGTTCCCCACACTTGTTCCATTGCTTACTGCTGCCTTTTTGCCCATGTTCATGAAGTACCCTCTGTTTAAAATCTGTATTGCCACCACCACTGCAACACCTTTGTGTTCAGAGACTTTCAGCCTTTAAAGCCCAGCTCACACCCTGTTCCATGAACTTTTTCCTGTTCTTACCAGCCAGAAAGAATCTGAACTCTTAAACATCCACTTGCTTCATCTAATGGCATCATCAATTCCTATGCACCATTGTAGTTATTTGTAGAAATATTTTACTAGACTGTAAGTTCTTTAAGGAAATGATATGTGTCTGCATTTGTCCCATTGTACACTACTTTGCTGAGCATAGTGCTTATGTAATCAATTCTCCATTAAAGGCTATAGAAGGGAAGGGAAGGATTGCATTTCCTTGAAGATCAACCTCTCAATTGTGTGGTGTAGACAATAGTTTTAAGAAAGGTGCTGCCCCTTCATTTGTAGGGTAATGTGTACTTGCATAGGTGCTATCTTGGTGTTGATTTTAGAACCTTAGAAGAAATATAATTCTAGACTAATGGAATGTTATAACTGGAGGGACCTCGGAAGTTTTTAGTTCGTTGGTGTTAGTTCTAACTGGGTTCCATGGACATCTAGGGCCCCAGAAGATGTCTGGGGATCTCCCTGGGTACTATGAGTAAAGGAAAAGGGGGAAGATGACAGGAACCCACTTCTACCTCCCAGGGGAAAAGGCTGGGTATCCAGTTCTACCTCTCACAAGCATCAGTGCCTAGGATAAAAATTTATAAGCAGGATAACTCATGTAAGAGTGAACTATATGATTTATCATTTTTAAGGAATAAAATTATTTCACTTCAAGGTAAAAAGCCAACCCCCTTTTACCCTTTTAAAATATGTTTGAAGTTCAATTTAATATTTATTTTCTAAAAGGTATTATACTTACAAATCTTATTTTTGAAAAAGTTCTACTCCAGTCCAGTGTTCTCATTTTATAGAAGCATTCATTCACACACCCAAAGTCATACAATTCATGTAGTCACAAAACCAGGGTCAGCATCCCCAGGAATCCTGGTTCCCCTGGCAGTGCCATGCTACCCCGCTTCTCTGTAGCTGTGGTCTCTAATTATAAAATCTTTGCTGGGCAGAGACTGTGTCTGAGTGTTTCTATGCCACCCACTAATACAGTGGAAATTAAGAGAGGTTTTGTTTTTGTTTTTTTTTAATATTTTTTATTTATTTATTTATATTTATACAAGCACTGGGTACAGTCAGAAGCACGGGAGGGTGAGAGAATTCACCAGAGCCAGAGCGGGGAGCAGAGCAGGCAGAAGGACCGAAGTACACTGCTGAGGGGAGCAGCGTGCAGCAGGAGAGGTCTGCGCGCCATGTGGGACCCTCCTCTGGTGGCTGGGGAGAAGCCAGGGATCCAACCGGCAATGCAGAGGCTACGGGCAGCTTGTCAACCCAGCGCTCAACCGCTGTGCCACCGGGGAGGCCCAAGAGAGTTTTGTATCAAATTTTTAATCTCATTAAATGTTCCTGGAATTACTAGTGTTTCCTTCCCTGCAAGTTAGATGATCAGGATCATTCATTTATCATTCCACAAACAATCTTTAAGCAGCTGCTTCAGAATTTGATCCAGGGTTGTGCCCTGGATGCAACAATGAAAAAGATACAAGTTCATGCAGCTGAGAAATGTGATGCTATGCCTCTGAATCACAGATAGTGTTGTAAACCAGTTTTACATCTCAGTTTAAAAGAAAAGAAATAGACATAGGTTCTCTGCCTAATGTGAGCACACGTGAGATGTGTGGGATGGATTGTGCAAAGTTGAGAACATAAAAATTTCAGTGAAGAATGCGCTTAGCGAAGGCCTCAGCTCCCTTATGCAGGACAATAGTGACCACTTCTTCCCTAGTTCCTTTGTTCAATGGTTCATTATTCATAAAACATCTATTTGTTAAACTGCTTTGCACTAGGCAGAACCTGGAATTTTGGAAGAACAAAAGTATTAAGACATTTTCCCTGGCCTTAAGAAATTTTGCATTCTAATGCAAATGATAAAATAATAGGTAAGGAATATTTATTCTCTGATTGAGATAGAACAGAGTAAGGTGAGTTGACATGAATATGGAAGCTTATAACTTATGTTAGAATTATTTAAAATTTAGTTGCATGAGAATCTTCAAAGAATACATGCAACAATTAATAGAAAAAAGACAATACAGTTTATTAAGAAATTTATCTTTTTACCTTTTGATTTCATGTACCACAATATTTAAGGATTGCAAGAAACCTCCCTTGCCCTGGTTAAAAAAAAAAGTGTGTGTATGTGTGTGTGTGATATAATGATTTTTATGTATTATTTATGTATTATATATAATAATTATATAATACACACATACACATACATAATACATATTTAATATGTGTATATATGCATATATAATACAT